ACCGCCCCACAGTCCAAGAGCGCATGCTAAAGTGCCTGGTTTCCCAAAACTGCAGGCTTAACTCACATTGCAGGATCCCACAGGACAAAACTAAGCCCGTGGCCTAGCAGTGAGGCCTTTGGGATCAGCCCCTATTGACGGCCGAAGTTGGTGGATCAGAATGCTCCAATGTCTACAATTTGACACATTCATCTAAAGAAACGGTCTTAGTCGGGTTCTGTTGCTGTGAAGAGACACTGTGACCACAGTTCTTATGAAGGTAAGGATGTAATTGGGCCAGGCCTACAGCTTCAGGTTAATTCTCTGCTCCCCCAGCCTGAACAGGGGCTTGCTGAGTGACTAAAATATTAAGACGTGCTAATTGCTTTTCTTCTTGTTGTAACCAAACACTCGACAAGAGCAATTTGAAAAGGAGGGGTTTACTTGTGCTCCCAGTTTGAGGGTGCAGTCTATCGTGGCAGAGGTGTGAGTGGCATTGCACCTTCACTTAAGACAGCAGAAGACAGAAGGGTCATGCTCACCTTGTCCTGTTTTGTTGTTGTTTTGTCTTAGACAGGGTTTCTCTATGTAGCCTTGGCTGTCCTGGAACTCACTCTATAGACCAGGCTGGCCTCGAACTCGGAGATCCTCCTGCCTCTGCCGCCCGAGTGCTGGGATTCAAGGCGTGTGCCACCAACGCCTGACTTCTCCTTGTCCTTTTTACTCAATCTGGGATCTCAGCGCATGGGATGGTGTCCTGCACAGTAGGGTATGTCTTCCTACCTCAGTTAACCAGCCTAGAACCTCCTTCAGAGACACTCCTGGGGGCTTGTCATCAAGGTGACTGAAGATCCTATAAAGATTCAGTCACTACTCTCATTCACAGGAGGGGTGCAGGCAGTGTGTCCCTTCAGATGTGCCTCGTCTCTAGCAATGCCCTAAGAGTGCTTACACAGCACTTCCCAGTCCAGGGAGCAGGGTAGAACTACACATCTTTGATGGGGAAGGGACAATAGTGACACCCGTGACAAGCCATGGACGCAGGATCCCTCTGCAGGCAGCTGCTGCTATCCTTGCATTTTGGTACGTTTGGTGAACATGTTTCCTCCTAGCAGAAGGGGAGCTGAGATGAGCACGGCCTGCGCTTGGGGTCCCCTGGTATCATCACTGGAGCATTCTCGGGAGGGAGGGGGGACCTCGGATGGGTCTAGAAAGAGAGGCAGGATGATGGGGTCACTGCAAGTCAAGGCCTGAAGATAGCCACACAGGCTGGAGAAGTAGGAAAGTTTTGTCCTGGGTCTTGGGAGGCCTCCAGCCCTACCTAGGCCTTCTTTAGCCCGGAACAATCATTGTGAATCTCTCAAAACCATGAGAAACGAATACATGTTATGTGAAGTGAGGATGTTGGTGGACACATTGGCCATTCATTGAGCAGAAATGAGAAAATTAATGTAGTGGCCCAGCCCTCTCCTCAAGGCCACACTGAGGAAAGGACAGCCTGTGTCCTGAGTACCTGCTCCATCTGTTGAAGAGATGCACTGACCTGGTCTGCATCCAAAGGTGACCCCCGAACTGGCATGGGACTCCATGGTAGGGGTCCTGGCACATTTGCTGGTGACGACGGCTTGTTTCATGCTGAATATTAAAGATAGGTTTTGCACAGATGTAGCAGGACGCTGAGAATGGTTGAAACCGAATCAACCACAGGAACAGCCAAGCCCTGTGCAGACTCCAAGGCTGGTGGGCAGGGAGGATGGGAAGAAATTGCCCCTGTTGCCCAGCTCATCAGAGATGCCTCCAGCCTCTCAGCCAGAGACCCTCAGAAAGAATACAGAAGGTGTCCTTTCACAGGACCTGCAGGTCCAGAAGCTTTTACACCCCACTCAAGAGTCCCTGCTGCAGAATAGCTTGTGGGGGGGGGAGGAACAAAGGACAACAGTGAGTTCCTGTGGCCAGGACAGTTTACCCCAGCCACCTGATCTGGTTTGACTCCTGATCACAGATACACATTGAGCCCGACCATGCTCACACACTGAACCCTGACCCTGCTTAAATAATGAGCCCTAATCCTGTTCACACACTGAAGCCTGACCCTACTCACACACTGAGGCTAACCATGATGCTCACACACTGAAACCTGACCCTACTCACACACTGAGCCTGACCATGCTCACACACTGAAACCTGACCCTACTCACACACTGAGCCTAACCATGATGCTCACACACTGAAACCTGACACTGCTCACACACTGAGCCTGACCATGCTCACACACTGAAACCTGACACTGCTCACACACTGAGTCTGATCATGCTCACACACTGAGCTCTGACTCTGCTCATACACCGAACCCTTACTCTGACCGCATGTTAAATTCTTGTCCCCTTTGTCCTCTCTTCCTCATCCTGTACAAATCCTAAGTCACAGCCTTGTCTCAGTTTGGTCCCTGACCCTACTAACATACTAAGCCAAGGCTCTGGCCATAGGTGGCACACTGAGCCCCTGCCTGTCTTCAGCTAGTTTTCAATCTTGGGAGGGAGAACCCCCCCCCAGTGCATTCTGGCCCAGCCCTCACTGAGTGCTTATGGACTTGCCTGGCAGGCTCTGCTCATCCACAGGGCACCCTTGCCAACTGCCATGTGTAAGCGGTACATTATTCCAGCCCAGCTCTGGTGCCAGAGGCCCAGCTCTGTCCCTGTGTCCCACCACTACGGCATGGCACTACTCCCTGTCTGTAGGCCCCGTCATGTGCTGGTGCACGTGGAAGCTGTGGTGTGCCTGTGTGTGAGCAGAGCCCTGGGTGTCATGGGAAGAGAAGGCTGCAAAATCAGCCTGTCTGGTCTTGCAGCCCACATCTGCTCCTGGGTGGGGGACACAGGGCATGATGATGGCTAATGTTGACTATCGCCTAAACAGGATCTAGAATCCTTGGAGACGGACCTCTTTAGATGTCTGTGAGGGGGTGTCTATCTGGGTAAACTGAGATGCCAATTCCCAACCTAAATGTGGGAGAGCGTTAGGATAACACCCTAGTCCAGGGTCCCATACGGACAGAAAGGCAGCAGCTGAGCGCCAGCTTCATCTGTCTCTGCCTACCGACTGTGGCTTCGACCCGCTGACTGGCAGACTGTAGCCAGCAACCCGCTGCCTCCCAACCTGCTACCAGCCTGCCCCACCCTGATGGACTATACAGTCAAAGCTTGAACAAAACAAACTGTCCCCAGCTTGGTTAGGAATTTTGTCACAGCAAACAGACGAGAAACAGACACACGGGGGAAGGCGCTTAACTTCCAAGCCTGGTTTGTCCTCGCTGCAATAGGGTGATAAAAGTACTGACTCACAGTTAGGGAAAGTCACTGGAGAGTGCCCACGTTACCAATGGCAGGGAACCCTTGCCACTGCCTAGGCCCATCAACATGGCACATCCTGCCCCTGACCCCAGGTTCTCCCACACTGACCTCTGGCCTCTTCCAAATGTTTTCTCAAGCCCACTTGGCGCCCCTACATCCCTCCTAGGTCACCTTCCCATTCTCAGGCCCTAGGGTCTGGGGACAAGCTCACACTGTGACCCACATGGTGAAGGGCCAGAGCCCCAGTCACTCACCTAGGTTCATAAATCTGCCCCATTCCCCTCAAGCCAATACAAGCCAGGCACCTGAAAATCCAATATATTTCATTTACAAGCTGGTCTATTACCCGATTCATAACAGATCTGTCACCCTGAGGGATCAATGCATCCGGAGGACGCCACATACATAACACCTATGTGTAATTGGGTTCTGGCTCCCTGGCATCTCACTATGCTGAGGGACTCTGGGGAGTCACTCACCCTCCTCAGTATGGGGGGAGCAGCGGTGAGGAACTGCTCCAGGTGCGGAGCAGCCTGGAGCTACAGGAGGGGAGGGGGTCTCAGCAAGTCCAAGTGGGCTGGCTGGTCACTTGGTCTCAGGCCTGGTTAGCATGGAGTCCCACTACTACACATGTCCCCCAGGAGAGTGCTTCTAGCCCACGGGTGACCCAGACAGCTCGTCGCAGGCAGCACTGGTGGAAAGACACACAGAGAACCACGGTTTTCAGGCACCTGAAGGAATCAGCCAGTCACCTGTTCAAAGTCCATCCATAGCCTGTTTGACAAGAGAAGTCCCTTCCCCAGTTAACCCACCGGCAAGGCACCAACCTGTACCTTAAATGGGCTAGGCTGGAGGCGTGTCTCTGTCTAGTATGAACTGGCCTGTGGATGCCAGCCAAGCAGGGGGAGGAGGTTGGTGTGCACGTCAGGGCGGAAAGGTGTACAGCTGGCCTTGAGTTCAGCAAGCATGGCTGCTGCCTCTGATCGCTGCCTCATCTGAGGGACAGAGACTCAAGCAAAGGGGCAATAGCCTGTCCCACACTCACTGTGGCTGTGAATGGCAACTCTCTTGTCCCACCCGGGTTCTTGTGGCTCAGTGAGCTTATCATCTGACTTATGGTGGCTGCATGAGGCAGGGCCACAGGCTGGGTACTTCCCATCCCCATTCCTGTGTTCTGGAAGCCTGGATCCAAGCCTTAGTGCTGGGGCCTCCTGAAGCTCCCTCACCGGTCCTTCTCACCCTGCTATTGATTCCAATCACAAATGTGACACCCAGTAATGGAAGTGGCATCTCAGTCTCCTGGGAATCTATGTCCCAAAATAGTCAAAAGGAAAAAAATGCTCACAGTGCAAGCGTTTTTCATGCTGAGGTGGAGTTATCAGGGCCACAGATACTTCACACACAAGTGTTTTTCTTCCGGAGGCTGCCACATAAATAGGTTTGGAGCTTGGGAAACAGTAGCTCCTCCTATCAGTACAGGATAAAAGGGAACAGGGCCTTTGGGACTCAGAGGTCAGAGATCTAGGGTCAATCAAGCAGCAGCTGACCCTGGGCAAGGGAAGCTGACCCTGTGCCTCGGGCCCTTACCAGTCAAAGGGTGTGTTCATGGTCCCTTTCAGCCTCCTCGATGTCAGGCCAGGCACCTGGTCATCAATAAAGACTGTTCAGGTATTCATCTTATTATTATTATTATTATTATTATTATTATTATTACAATGATTTACTCAGAGGGGACACATGTTAAGGGCTAGCGAGATGACTCCACAAGCAAAGGCACCTACCAGCAAGTCTGAGGACGTGAATGCAACCCCGAGACATGGGGAAGGAGATAAGGACTACCACAAGCTGTCATCTGACCCCCTCTCTCAAGCCATGGGGCGTACATATGCACATACATAAACACAAAAACCAAATTTTAATGTAATTGTTTTAGGAAAGAGAAATGACAGTCCAGCCATATCCCCTCCCTTCCCACACTTTAAGCAGATCAAGATATGTCACGGCTTTGAGGGGCCAAACTCACAGCCAGGGAAACTGAGGCCCACTGGTGTCACTCGGACACTCAGCGCTGACAGAGGCTTCAGCTGCTTATCTCCTCTGCTCATTCTGGGCCCGCCAGATCCCACACTGGTGGCGATGGCTTCCTGGGGCCTCCAGGTGCGTAGAGCTGGCCATTCAGGGAGCAGGACAGAGCGAGTGGATGCTGTGGCCTGGCAAGTGGCTGGCAGCTTCTGAGCATGGTGTCCCTGAGCTATGGCATCCGTTATCCTGCTCAAAGCTGATGAGGACGAGCATGAGGACAATTAGTCTCAGGACTACTGGTGGAGGAGAATGGTAAGAGAAAAATAAATTAAAAAGAAATCCATTGGAGCTGTAACTGTAATACAGTGTATCATAGTCAATTGAATCGCAAATACAAGCTGGTCCCTTGTCGATTGATTTCAGCGAGTAAACAATTTAGGTATTTAAATTGGCAATTTGAGGGGGACGGAGGCAGAGCTGGCTGATGAGGGAACTGGCAGCATCATAATCAAAGTTGGCACGAACCTGACTGCTCCTCGGCTGCCGGAAGCTCCTCCCTCTTGCCCACGAGCTGGGCGCTCCATCCACAAGTCTTCATAGACCCCAGTCAGAAGCATGGCCGCCTGACCCAGTTGACTGGTCCCTCTCTCCTTCTGCGCTGCACCTCCCATGGCAGACTTGGCTTCTCTGTGCCCGCAGGTCTTCCCTCAGCGCTGGAGCTTTGACGCCAGGGGTCCCACTATTTTCCTGAGCCAAGCCCAGTTGTGTGAGGGGTTCTGAAGGTGGAGGGAAGAATGGAGAAATGGATGAAAAAGGGTGAGGGAATGGATGGAGAAGAGGGAGGAAGGGGTGGATGGAAGGAGGGACAGGAAAAGACGTTTGGAGAGATGGTAGAGGAATGGAGGGAGAGATGGAGGGAGAGATGGATGAGGGATGAAGGGAGAAATGGAGAAACGGATGGAGAGACGGTGGGGGAGGCAAAGAGGGGATAGAGGGAGGATGGAGGGTTACATGTAGAGACGATGAGTGGAGACATGGAGGTGTGGTGGGGTGGATAGGGAAGTAAAGGAAGGAATGGGTCAGGGTAGAGCAATGGAGGGAAAGGGAAGCAGGGATAGATAATGGAATGGAGGGGCAGAGAGTGGTGTGCCGGGCTTTTTTCTGTGCGGGCACCAACCAGCTGCCAAATCATGGCATGGAGACTTATTGTTAGTTTTGAATGCTCGACCTAGCTTAGGCTCATTTCTGACTAGCTCTTTTAGCTTAAACTAACTCGTCCCTCTTCATGTACATTTTGCTTCAGGACTTTTAATCTTTCCTTCCTTTCTCCTTCTCACCCCCCCACTTCTCTCTCTTTCCTGTTGTCTATGGCCTCCCTCGTTCTCTTCTCCTTCTTTCTCTCTTCCTTTCCCAAGCCTAGATTTCTCCTCCTATTTATTCTCTCTGCCTGACAGCCCCACTTATTCCTCTCCTGCCTAGCTATTGGCCACTCAGCTTTTTATTAGATCAGTCAGGTGCCTTAGGCAGGCAAGGTGAAATAAACGCAACACATCTTTACATAAAACACACACACACACACACACACCTTTACATCGCTAAACTAATGCAACATAAACAAATGTAACACATCGTTACATAGTTAAATATTCCACAACAGAGTGGATAGTTAAATGGATTGATGGGAGGAAGAACCGATAAGATGAAGATAGATGACAAATGGATAGATAGATAGATAGTTGATAGATTATAGATGATAGATAGTTGATAGATTATAGATGATAGATAGTTGATAGATGATAAATAGATGATAGATAGATGATAGATAGATAGTTGATAGATTATAGATGATAGATAGTTGATAGATGATAGATACATAGTTGATAGATGATTGATAGATAGATGATAGTTTATAGATGATAGATAGATAGTTGATAGATGATAGATAGACTATAGACAGACAGACAGACACACAGATAAATGAGTAGGTGGATGGATGGGAAGACAGCATGTGGCAGGTTATCAAAGCTGGTGGATATTTTAGGAGCTGCTACGAGAAGATAGCCATCTCTCACCTGTAAAAAAAACTTTTGGGCCTGAAATTCCAGAACCTTCCTAAGTTTCCAAACAAGAAGTGACTTAAAGCCAAGAAGGTTAAGTGAAGTGGATGACTACAGGCCTTGGGTCTCCCAGCATAGGGATATTCTCTCAGCTGAGAACAGCTCTGAGGAACAGGTGCTGTCCGGCAGGCCAGAGGGAGCTCCCTCTCCAGTCAGACCACACCAGACCCCTTCCTCCACCTCACACCATCTCCATCTCAGCAACCGACTGACAGGGTCAGCGTAGCAGAAGAGCATTTCCACTCAGGGTCACAGTTCCAGCTCTGCTGCGCTAGGGCTCAGAAGGCCACTCAGGAGAACATAACACATAGATGGCCATGCAGGAGTGGCCGTGTGGACAGCCCTGACCACCAGAGGGAGAGGCCTGACCATGGGATCTGAGTGAATGGGACACAGAGGGCCTTCTGGGCCTAGCTCCAGGGTCCTGGGGCGTGCCACTTATGAAAGGGTTCCCAGCACATCCCTAGTGGGGACGCAGGGACAGAACTGTGGGAGTCACATTTCCCCAGTATACCTCTCATCTCTGTCCCACCAAAAGATGGAGTCTATGCCCCCCTCCTGGAACCTGGAGGTCTTATACCTGTTCTAACCCAGAAAGTGTGAGACGCTAACACCAAGGAACTTCTGAGCCCAGGCCACACAGAGCACGGAGGGTTAGCAGGGCTTCCCCAGCCTGCCAGCCACCAGGACGTGAGGAAGCCTGGCCCACGAGGGAAGTCACCTTCAGGTGACGACCCACAGGCTCCAGCTGGCAGCCAGCCTCAGCCAGGAGGTGCATACCAAGTGACGCTCAGATGAGCCTAGCTATAAGCCCTTGGGTCACCCTAACCAGCGTTAAGAGGAGCAGAGGTCATCTGTCCAGCAGGGCACTGCTGAAGCGCACAGATTCATGAACAGACTGAATCCGCTCGACTGAGGTGGTTTGCTACACAGCACGCTGACTGACTAAGCACAAGTCCCCAAATCTTCCTCCTCAGCTGTGTCTTCTTAATGCTCCCGCCGTTTCTCCGGGTCCCATCCTCGATCCTCAACATGACTTAGGCTGTGGTAGTGGGGGCTACTGGCACTCAGCACTATGGACTGGTGACATGGAGCAGGAGAGAGGGGAGGACAGCAGACCTTATTCCTCTGGTGAGGGCGCCCCGTGTGTGAGCGCAGTGCTCGCATTTGGTCACTAACCTGAGCTGCGCCGCGTTAAGTGGGGGCACGAGAATCATCAGCGGCGCGATCACACGGCAAAACACGTATGCATGAATGTAACAGCCACGAGGTGGACTGTAGCAGGCACCCAAGGCTGGGGCTTGCCCAGTACCTGTGGTCTCCCGACGTCCTCAGGTAGACAGGCCAGGCAGACTTCCTCCCAGCCTGTAAGTCTCTCCTCAGCATGGAGTCTTTGGAACTCTCCCACAGCCCAGACTCTTTCTTCACTGGCGTTGTCTGGAGCAGGCTTCTGCTACTTATACCAGTGGGGTCTGGTTGAAACTGGCTGTTTAAAAGGCTGGTAGAGAGGCTGGCCGTGGAATGACCATAGGTCACACCGCTGGGCATGTCAGGGTGGAGGCCAGCATGGTCACCTGAGTGGGTGAGAAGACAGAGGCTGGTGTGGTCAGCTGGACTGGTTAAAGGAAAGGAGGGTGTGGTCCCCTGGGCTGTCAGAGCAGAAGGTGGGTGTGGTCTGTTGGACAGGTAAGAGTAAAGGCCTGGATGGGGCAAGAGACGGAAGAGAGAGAGATACAATCCACGAAGGGGCTCTCTAGGGTTCCTCACAGCCTTGAGGTAAAAGGCAGGGAGGAACTGGCCTGGATTGACTCTAGGCCCTCATAGTAAATTCCAGGCTGATGTCATCTCACAGGACATGGAAGAGAGGATTAGCTGTGGGCCGAGAAGTAGGGAGAAACTGAATCCTTGCAGAGGGTTCCAGACAGAAACCCAAGCTTCCGGGGGCAGTTGCAGAGACAGTGACTGAATCAGGGCAGACGGCTCTTGAGGTGAGAACAAAGAATGGGGGGGGGGAGCTGCTTGGGGACAGAAGGGGGCTCGGCATAGCCAGTCGTGCCCTGTGTCCCAATGGCACCATCCATGGCTCTACCCAGGCACAGTACTTCATTGGGATGTTCAGACCCCAGCATTCAGTCTGCCTCAGCAGGATGGGACCTCTCAGTCAGTGTCTCTACAGAGAAATCTGACCACATGGAGCCCCCCCCCCACCAGGGGAGGAAACCAGGCTGTCAACTATCCATCTGCTGCCATGAGGTCAGACTCCCATCCTGAGTGGAGGGGAGTCACTCCAAGATCCAAGACCATCTGCCTGGCCCTCGCTCCACACACTGCCTGGGGAAAGGACAGGGCAGACGCACGCTGTAGAGATATTCCAGAACCCGGCTACCTGGCTCCCTTGGGGTGACTTTAGCCCATGGGGACGTACAGGTCCTACAGCTACTGTGGGTCCTAACCCCAGGCGGCTGAGCTGGGGGCCCCTGCCAGTGAGACTTTTCCTCCACCATGCTCTGCTGTCTCCACCCTCTGCCTAAAACCCTCCTCCACCACAGCCCCCCACCCCACCACCGCCACTCCCCTGACCCCACACGTCCAAAAGAAACACACAACTCAACCCCTGGTTCACACAAAGCTGTCTGGTCTGTCAGTCCTGGGCCCAGGGTGTGCAACCCAGGAAAGCCCACCCCACACTTGCTCCCTCCTCCAAGAAGACCGGGTGGTGGCCAGACTTCTGCCTGATTTGATGACTCCTTAGGGAGGCTCTCTGGTCACTGCTTGTGTCAGCCTAGGCTGAGACTGTCCCCACACCAGATGGGCACCACAGGTAAGGCTCTCTCCTGCGTGCCCAGACAGCCATGTGACTGTGGGCCACCTGCTGCTCCAGATAGTGGGGTCTGAAGGTCATCCTGACACTCCTGGCCTGAGGGGGGAGGTGCTGGGTTTAGCCTGGCCGGCCGCAGCTGTGCTTGCCAGCAATGTCCTGCCATGCCCCTCACCTGAACTTCGCACCTGGCAAACCTGCTCCTCCAAGTCCCTTCAGAAGTGCTGACAAGTCAGGGGCTCACTCAGGGCAGCCAGCCTCAGCAGGAGTATGCAGGCTGGGGGATCCCAATCAAGCAACCATGAGGAGAGATCCCAGACAGACCCACCAAAGTCCCTAAATGCACTTGGGCAGAGTCAGAGCCATATCCATTCTGCTCCCATCAGTCAGGCCCACAGCTCCCCCCTGCAGGAATGCCTGCCTTCAGAGAGCCATGTCCTCCCTGGACCTCCCTGTGGATAGGGTTTCAACCCAGCAAGCCCTACATGGAGACCTAGGACAGAGACAGCTACGGAAGAGAAAGGTGACAGTAGTCACTTTGCACTGCAGCTCCAGTTCTGGTCCCGCCCCTCCCTCCAAGGGCATCACAGCCCTGTCCACAGCACTCTGCCCAGCATCCGAGGCCAGCATGTCCTCCAGCTGCCCTCACTAGCTCCTCACACCTGCAGACAGGAGGTGTAAAATCCAATTTGCTCCTGACACCTCCGAGGAACACCCTGGAGCCTGTCTGTGTTCATTGCTGCTACAGGGCTGGGAAGATGGCCAGCAGCTCAGGGTGTCTTCTGGTCGCCCACCTCACACCTCAAGTTTCTCAGGACCTTCAGGAGAGAAGCCACCTACAAACTCAGCATCACAAATTTTTAGGGTTCTGAAGCCCAGGACAGGGCGGAGCAGCCTGGAGCAAGGTAAAGGATGAGATACCTGCTCTCCCCAAGTTTGAGCGGCATCATGAAGACTTGTCTGGGGTGCGCTCTGAGGACCAGAGGTACAGCCTAGGAGGAACCGTGGACTCCAGGGATGTACACAGAGCCTCAAGCAGCTGTGAGAACACAACAGGTCCCAACAGGCTCTGCTGTCCTTTCTCAGCTCTCTAATCCACTTCTGCAGATCCCCAAGGTGACCTCAGGGTGACACAGTCTGAGAGCTGGGCCCAACCCCTACAGATTCCCCTGTGAAACCAGGGCTTCCCCTGGACCCTCAAGACAGACCCAGCCATTGAGGCCAGCGGACCCATGGCACAGTGACTGTCCTACCCAAGAAGAGCTTGTGATGGCATGAGAGGAAAAAACAAAAAACAAACAAACAAAAACAAAACAACTGTCCAGTCCAAATGTCACACTATGGGCAAGCCACTTTCCTGCTCCAGAATACCCACACCAGGAGTCACACCATTATGTGTGTGTGCGCGTGCACACAAACACCCAGACCCACACCCTTACACACACACTCTAACATAGTCACCCATGCACACTCACTCATCCGTTATATCAGTTGTCCCACCCTCTGGTCACAAAACCCGGTTCCTAGGGAACATCCCAGCTCTCCTCTTTCCCTGGGGCTAGAGGCTAACTCCAAGGTAAAGGGCAGCCTGGCCTTACTGCCCTCTACACTAAGAAAGGACACGTGACAACCAGGGGCCATTTCTTACATGAAGAAACAGACCCTGGGAGGAGTGGCCTATCCCATCCATCATCCATCCATCCATCCATCATCCATCCATCCATCATCCATCCATCCATCATCCATCTATCATCCATCCATCATCCATCCATACATCATCCATCCCTCATCCATCCATCCATCATCCATCCATCCATCCATCATCCATCCATCATCCATCCATCCATAATCCATCCATCATCCATACATACATACATACATACATACATCATCCATCCATCTATCCATCCATCATCTATCCATCCATCATCCATCCATCCATCATCCATCATCCATCCATCTATCCATCCATCCATCATCCATCATCCATCCACCATCCATCCATCATCCATCCATCCATCATCTATCCATCCATCCCTCATCCATCCCTCATCCATCCATCCATCATCCATCCATCCATCATCCATCCATCATCCATCCATCATCCATCCATACATACATACATACATCATCCATCCATCCATCATCCATCATCCATCCATCTATCCATACATCCATCATCCATCCATCCATGCATCCATCATCCATACATCTATCCATCCATCCACCATCCATCCATCATCCATCCATCCACCATCCATCCATCATCCATCCATCTATCCATACATCCATCATCCATCCATCCATGCATCCATCATCCATACATCCATCCATCCATGCATCCATCATCCATACATCCATCATCCATACATCCATCCATCATCCATACATCCATCATCCATACATCCATCATCCATACATCCATCATCTATCCATCCATCCATCATCCATACATCCATCCATCATCCATACATCCATCATCTATCCATCCATCCATCCATCATCCATCCATCTATCCATACATCCATCATCCATCCATCCATCCATCATCTATCCATCCATCCATCCATCATCCATACATCCATACATCCATGCATCCATCATCCATACATCCATCATCCATCATCCATCATCCATCCATCATCCATCCATCCATCATCTATCCATCCATCCATCCATCATCCATCATCCATCCATCTATCCATACATCCATCATCCATCCATCCATGCATCCATCATCCATACATCCATCCATCCATGCATCCATCATCCATACATCCATCATCCATACATCCATCCATCATCCATACATCCATCATCCATACATCCATCCATCATCCATCATCCATCATCCATCCATCCATCATCCATACATCCATCCATCATCCATACATCCATCATCCATACATCTATCCATCCATCCATCCATCATCCATCATCCACACATCATCCATACATCCATCCATCATCCATCATCCATACATCCATCCATCATCCATACATCCATCCATCATCCATCATCCATACATCCATCATCCATCCATACATCCATCATCCATACATCTATCCATTCATCTATCATCCATCCACCATCCATCCATCCATCATCCGTCCATCATCCATCCATCCATCCATCATCCCTCCATCATCCATCCATCCATCATCCATCCATCTATCCATCCATCCATCATCCATCCATCCATCATCCATCCATCATCCATCCATCCATCATCCATCCATTCCATCATCCATCATCCATCCATCCATCCATCCATCCATCATACATCCATCATCCATATATCCATCATCCATCATCCATCCATCCTCCATCCATCCATCCATCATCCATCATCCATCCATCATCCATACATCCATCCATCATCCATCCATCATCCATCCATCCATCCATCATCTATCCATCCATCATCCATCCATCCACCATCCATCATCCATCCATCCATCATCCATTCATCATCCATACATCCATCATGCATCCATCATCCATCATCCATCATCCATCCATCATCCATCATCCATCCATCCATCATCTATCCATCCATCCATCATCCATCCATCCATCCATCCATGCCATCTTTCTTTTCCCAGCCTCTCTGTGTCAGTGAACTCCTATGCAGACTGTGGGGCCCCCCTCTGATCCCTCTTTCAGCTCCTGTCCTTTCCATCTGGCTGCTGTCTCCCGAGGCCCTCACCACAGGCCTGTCTTGGACTTCAGAGACCACTCACATGGCCCTATCCATGTGCCCCCAACCCTGTAATCTTTGCCAGAGTGTGAGTGGTCCCTCTCTGCTCCTTGCCATGCTTACGGCTAATGCACCTCATCTGCCCTTTCAAAATCCTCAATAAAATCCCAGTGGAGATGAAACAACAGTGACGGGCTATGGGCAGAGGGAGATAGGGCAATGAGCCACAAGTTGCTAAGGCCATGAGACCTCCCCGGGTCTTTGGAGAAGGACATATTCCAAAGGAGTTGGTGACTCGCCCAATAGCTGGTTCCTGAAACCCCAAACACAAGGGGAAGCGGGAGGGCAAAGGTGGGAGCTGGGTGCTGAGGGCCAGGTTGAGAGCTGAGCCAGCCCAGCGCCTGTGCTGACACAGTGGCATTGGGGTGGGCAGTGTTAGCCTTCAACAGAGCTAATCCCCATGCAGCCAACCTGCAGGCAGCTGTGCCCCTGCAGGGGTAAGAGAGGAATGCCTCAGCCTAGCAGGGGGTCATACCAGGGCCTGGAGGTGGCAGGGACCCAGAGGTTCATTGTAAAGATAACCAAGGGCCAACCCTGGTGGCAGTCCTGCAGTGCCTGGAGCCTCTGATATGGGTCTACTTTGGGCCATTCCTGACCCATGTGTCTCCCAAGGCCCCAGCAGTCCCTGCATACTGAGCCCTGAGACCCCTCCAGACTCCTCTCAGCTCCTACATCTAACTGGGTCTACCCGGTGTTCAGTCATCTATCTGACACCTGCTTCCCCAAGACCCAGACTCAAAGGATCTCCCGGCAACACCAAAGAGAAGCCCAGGTGTCTCAGTGTGCAGAGACACCCAGACCACTGTTCTGATGGAGGCTTCACCCCAGCCCCTGGCATCCATATCCCCAAAGAGTCTGGAATGCTCTGGTGGATGTTCCACCCCAAGTCCCCTTCCCTATCTCTCTCCAAGCCCTACTGTATCTCAGAAAGCCCGACAAATAATCATCCCTCCCCCAGAGATGCTCAAGACCACTCCCTCAGAACAGAAGTGTGATTTCCCATATTCTCTCTGGCTGGAGGCTGGAAAATCATCTGGGAGCATTGTATCCATTAAATATGGGCTTTTTTTCTAATTTGGTTCGATTCGGTCTGATTTGGATTGCTGCATTAATGGAGAGGTTTATCGGGATGTAGAAACTTCTCAAGCACAGTAACCCTTCTAAAGGAAGGCATTTAGTTGGGGCTGGCTTACAGTTGGGAGGTTTAGTCCATTATCAGCATGGTGAGAAGCATGGGGGCGTGCAGCCAGAAGCGGTGCTGGAGAAGAGATGAGAGTTTACATCTGGATCTGCAGGAGCAGGAAGAGAGTGACACTGGGCCTGGCGTGGGCTTCTGAAACCTCAGAGCCCACCCCCAGTGACATACTTCCTCCAACAAGGCCACACCTCCTAGTCCTTTCAAGTAGTGACACTCTCTAAGCATTTAAACATAGGAGCTTATGAGGGTCATTCTTACTCAAACCGCCATACCAGGGAAGCCTGGCCCCAGAGCTCCTCCTGTTCTTAACCCTCCTACCCAGGGCAGGCTGGTTCCTCCTGAGCATCAGTACCCTTCATGGCATACGACCAGTGCTTAGTTCACACCTCTAAACTGAATCTGTAATCCCAGAGAATTCTGTGTGGCTCAGCAGCCCCACCCTGGGGGTTGTGCTAAGTCCTGGCTAGGGATATAGGACTAAATGCCCTCACCCCCCAGGTCCTTTGCAGAGTTGCTGCGGCCTCTGCCTGTCATGGCAAATGGCTTGAGGTGGGGAGGGGAGGTTTTCCCACATCCCTCAGATCCAGCCATGCCCTTTTACCACATCCAGTCACTGCTGCCTCCAGTTTTCCCGTCCCTGTGCTGTCCCCTGGCCAGAGCAATCTCCAGTCTCACCCCCACATCCCCAAGCCCCAAGAGCTCTACGCCTTGCTTCTTCCTCTGCAGGCTGAGCCTCAGCCATATGGCACTGAAAGGGCTGCTGATATGACCTTTGGCTGGAGCAGAGGACCCATGTTGGCAGAATGCATGGAGGAAGGGTCAGGGCAAGGCTGGTGTAGACAGAAAAGCAAGGCTTGGGCGTCTAGACTACAGTTTATAAGGAGCTGCAGGACACCAGGGCCTCGTTCCCAGGAGATGAATTCTCAGAGGGGTGTGTGTGTGTGTGTGTGTGTGTGTGTGTGTGTGTGTGTGTGTGTGTATGCACACACATGGGGTACATACAGTGCTATCCTCTCTGTCCCATTCAGGACTGCTCACTTCATTCTTTCCCTCCTGCCCTCAGCAGGAGTCAGCACAAGTGAGAGGAAGAGCAAGCGGACTGCAGAGACCTGGCGCCTGCCTTCCCAGCTGAGCAGGTCCCAGGCGCTCAGTCCTTCCACATAGAATGTCTCGTCTCAGTTTTTGCTAGGCAGTAGATCTCAGGGTGCCCAAAGATGCTGTCCCTGTGTTGGGGAGACGAAGGATGAACAAACAGGGACCCATCCTGGAATCTCCCTGGGAACAGCACCGCCACTATCCATGGTGCTGAGACACGACCCCCAGAGGCCTGGGAACAGCACCGCCACTATCCATGGTACTGAGACACGACCCCCCAGAGGCCTGGGAACAGCACCGACACTATCCATGGTGCTGAGACACGACCCCCAGAGGCCTGGGAACAGCATCGCCACTATCCATGGTGCTGAGACACGACCCCCAGAGGCAAGGGTACCCATGGGTCCCATAGGTGCCAAAGCAGGTATGCTTGGGCAGGGGTATCAGGACTGAGCAAGGCACCGCTGGTTCAGCCATGTATCAGTGATGCATGGTGGGAATCTTGGAACCATGGAGTGTCCAACCTGGGCTGACTCTGCATCTGAGACAATGTCTGTGACTCTAGTGTTTTATGTGTTGGTAGAATGCATGAACAAACAAATGAATGATGATGTATATGGGACATATAGCCCCAGTGTCCCGTTTTCTCCTGAGTACCTTGGTTCAGAGAAATTCCAGCGTCTTACCTGGGTTTCCCAGCAAGCTGAGTTCAGATAACAGGGCATCTCTCCTGTCCCAGCGAGACCAGGTCTCTGGGGCAATGCCAACTGTGCCTTCTCAGCTTCCCTGGCTTCTTCCGATCTTCAAATCACAGGGAAGAGGGTGCTATGGGCTGGGGGATCGCCAAAAGTTAGCTTCTAGAAAGACTACATTAGGTGGGACCCCCAAAACACAAGACAGCAGGCTAAACTTTGATAGACCATGAGCACTGGTGATGTCTGGGGTATGCCACACTACATGATATGTTCTCTCTCTGAATTTCAAAAGTCACTGGCCATTTTTTGTGGGACTCAATCCCACAGCAGGGCGCTCCACCGGCCAGACTCTGCCCAGGGTTTCTCAGAGCCCACATATCTGTCCCCACACACCAGCATGACCAGGCACCCACATTGAATACACGGGCTGAATCAGAGAATAGCCAGCAGCCTCAAGATTTTCAGGTGCCATGCCAGGTTCCATCCAAGAGTCCAGCACATGCTGCGTAGGACACAGCAGAGCCATCTGAGGGTCTGTAGGTGTCATCCCTTCCTACTCTGGCCCCAGCCCTTGCAACTATCACCAAGGGGTTCCATCACCTTTGCAGAGACAGCGCCTATTTCCCTATATCCCCAGGGCCCCTCCTCTCCAGAGAAAGAGCCTTCCCTGTACCTCCTCATCTTCTGGAGAACACAAGGGCTTGTCTGAGCTTTCTGACTTTTCATGTGGACTCTCAAGGGTCACGGCTAATCCACAGTCAAGCAACTATCTCAGGACTGAGTAACAGGACCAAGCTCAGTGTGTGTGCAGAGCCATGGGTCAGTGTATAACCAGGATCAGGGATTACAAACGTTCAGGTCACAGCATCTGCCTTTGTGGGAATGGGTTCAAACCGTCTGTGGGTTACCTGGGCTGCCCCATCAGGGTTCAAGATCTCCTTGGATCACAGATGCCACACAGAACTTAAGCCTGGCTTGTCAGAGGCTCTGGGGGCCAGCGCTCTTTAGGATACTACAATGCCAGCAGACACATCATCATCCTGTCTCACTCATCATGCTTCCAGATGGCACTGGGTACCTAGCCTACTGGGAGCCTCAGGCAACAGAGACATGTGTTCTGATGGTCATGGACACACTATGGTTTGTAGGACCCTATGTCAGTTTGGGTGACACTCGCAGTCTTCCAGACTCCAGGCTGGTGCACCTGACTGTCACCATCCTGGAGTAAGGATGGGTGTGGCTCAGTCCTGCCCCTCCCCACCAGCAAGGGAAGACATTGGGTCTGCACAAGAGAAGAGCGAACACATTCTCATTCGGCTGGCAACACCCTCCAAAGAGCTTATTAGAAATTAATATTTAATTCTCTTCTGTGGATTTAGCTTAATTATTCAATTTATTATTGCAATTACTGAGAAGCACCCGGAAGCAAAATTGCTTGCTTTGAACGGGGAAGAGAGTCAGGGAGCGGGTAATCTTGCCGCGAACATCCCAATTTTCAGAACATTCATTTTGCAGCCTTCACCTGGGGGATTCCTCCTTGTGTCCCTCTGAAGTCTCTGTTGCTGCAGTTTAAAAAAAGCAAAAAAATTTTTAAATTACGTTTTTTTTGTCTCTGTCAGAAAACACTAGTGATACTCCTACCTCCTGAGTGCTTTTTCCTTGTATCTACGGGGGGGGGGAGCACTGAAGACAGGGCCCCATCTCTCCCTTCTGCATAAATATGAAAGTACCCCGGGAAGCAAAAGGGGGTAGTGAAAAAGAGAATGGTAGAGGAAGGAGGGACAGGGAGGACAAAGCAAAACCACACACTCTCAGGACCTCAGAGTTCTACTCCAAGCCCTCGCCAACTTGCCCTGAGGAAGGAACAGCCTCATTGTACAGATTCTGACACCAACACTCTACAGAGATCAGCAATGTGTCCCTGTCACCTAGGTGACTGTGTGAGCCAGAACCAGCACTCAGTGCAGGGGAGTCCTTCCCTGAGCTTGGAGCTCGTGCCCAATCCCAGACTTCTGTACTTCCCGCTGCATCATTTCCTGGAGGAGTGCAAAGGTTATGGAGTAGGCAGAGAGTTCCACCCTCCTTCACACCCTCCCCATTGGGCTTCAAGGCCATTAGGCAGGCTGACTGCAAGCCATCCTCCTGGTATCCCTAAAAGCACAGTGACCCCAGACACCCCATGGCTGCTTTGTGACTGGGCCAGAGTATGTGTTCGCTGAGGATGGGACCTAGGTGTGAGGATGGCTGCTACCCTGCCTGGGGATTCCAAGTAGAAAATAGATTAGGATGTGGTGGCTCAGGTCTGAAGCCCAGAACTTGGCAGTCAGCAGAGGGGTTGGGTCTGCTCTGGTTGGGGATGCAGGTCATTGGCTAGGCTGGGACAGTTCCCAGAAGTGTGTGAGGAGCAAAGCAAAGGCCAAGTAGAGGCTGGAGGACAGACGCACTCTTATTCCCACTGTAGCCTCCAGGCTCCACGCACTCACCCAGCAGGGATGCAGCAACACCCTTCAGCTCTGAGCAGGCCAGGCCTGGGAGGATGCTGCCAGCTCCACTGCTCGGAGCTCCCCCAAACCTCGCTCACCTGTCCATCACCCTCATCCCTTTCTGGGCAGCCACTCATCCAGCAAGGGCACTCTCCGTTGACAGGTTCCCCAGCCTGTCGTTGGCTCCTCCCAGCCCACATGTACGATGGCCTCTTCCCCTGCCTGGGCGGCCTCACTGTCCACTAAGAGCTCACTCCATGGCATCTCTGTGCCTTTGCTTGAGCCATTGCCTCCACCAAGAGCCCACATGCACCTCTCAGCACTCAAGAAGGCCCCAGCCTCTCCTGCAGCATGATCTACAGGGAACAAGGGGTAGACAAACCAGTTCTCGTCTCCACAACAGAGCTTGTGCCAGCAGCAGGCAGCTGGGTTGTGTCAGTGAATAGGCAGGGCAGCTACAGACCCAACAGACAGAACTGCAGAACTGGCTGCCTATGCTGAATGCAGCCTCCCGTAGGCAGGTGCCATTGTGTGAGGGCCTGCCTCTCAAGGGCCAGAGCAAGGGGGCCCACGTTCCCACTTTGCAGGTGAACTCGAAGCTCAGCTGGAGGAAGCCTCAAGGCTACAGACCCTCCAAGCTCAGCACTGCCCAGTCTCTCGCCTGTTTCTGCCCTCACTGTACAACCATCTACCCTGGGCCAGGAGCTCTGGGAAGTGGATGTGGGATCCAGGTACCACCCTGGGCGAGTGCCTGCCCAGAGAAATCGGGCCTCAGAGGTGGGGGTTGCCTGGCCAGCGAGAACAGGCTCAGAGTCACTCAGCTGTGTGACTCTACTCAGAAGGCTACACACTGAAACCTTGGATTGTTCTGGTACCTGCAAGCCATAGCCTCCAAGCCAGACATACGATCAAGCCACAGTGTCCCTGGCAGCCCCATGGCAGAGGGTCCCACAAGCTGAGATGGGAGGTCCTACACGCCACACAGAAACCAGCCTAGGTGCTGTCCTGCCTCTGTACACCACCCATGTGAGCAAGCCCTTCAGCTCCATTCAGAGTGGCTTCCTCTCCAAAGGCGAGGCACAGTACCCCCCTTATCTAGTTGGTGAGGAACATCTACTAAGCATGCCATGAACAGAATTCTGGCTCCAGTGGCTAACTCATGACCCAAGCTGTGACAAGCTGCACATCAAGAACAGCCTGAACCTAGACATCAAGACCCCACACTGGGGAATCCTGCAGATAGATGAGCGTGGGTCTCCCAGCCTCGGGCAACCGACACAGATGCATAAGCATAGACACACAGGTATGTGTCCACACAGCAGGATACAGGGCACATAGACACACAGGTGTGTCCACACAGCAGGATGTGGGCACATGGACACACAGGTGTGTCCACACAGCAGGATGTGGGCACATGGACACACAGGTGTGTCCACACAGCAGGATGTGGGCACGTGGAGATGAAGATTCCTACTGCAGGCTGCTCAAACAGAAATCAATAGCTGTGGGGTCGATACTTCACGGCTTTCAGAAAACATTAAAAACATGATTTGCTATGCACCTCAATTTAGCCCTTTACATTTTTTGTGCTTGTGAAAAATACTTCATTGATCACTGCCCGGATACTGTAATTTTCTATTTATTGCAGCCCAGCCTTGCAACTCCCATGGGGAGACAGAGGTCTGTAGATGGAGTGACTGGCCCCACACCCCCCACTCCCACACATACTTATGGGTCCTGTGAGGGCTGAGCCGGGCCAGGCTTCAGTGTCAGAATCCTGTCTCTGGTCTTGTACCTTGAGAATGGCGAGCCATCGATAGCCAACCAAGGGCCGCATGAAAAGAGGTCCTGCGGTGAGGACCCGGGCCACACCAGACTCACATCCCACCACTCCTGTGCAGTTCGGGCTGCGGAATGCTGAGGGTGGCCTGACTGGAGACCAGTGATAGACAGAGCATCCCCAAAGGGCCGTGCCCAGGGCTGTCAGGAACCATTCTGGATTGGACCTGGAGCCAAGTCCAAAGGGTAAGAGGCAGGAGATCATGAAGCGTCCTGAGCTGGCATCAGTTGGGCATGCAGGACAACCAGCTCCCTCCCAGAGGCTGGGTTTGGGTTGGAACCCTCACGAGCACTTGGGTCTTTCTTAAAGTAGAATATGGTGCCTTGAACGCCACAGGGACAGCTGATCCTTAAATCAAGCCAAGGGAGGCAGAATCTTCAATCTGGCAAACACCAAACAGCCTTCACCTGTATTCTTATTCATGTCACTGTGGTCATTATGAGCCTAATAACTCTGGGCTCAAGGCCAAGGATCTCAAGGAGGAGAAAGACCGTTAGGCTGTGCTGGGGACTGATCAGGGTGGGGTCTGATGGGCTGACCGAGGGGACTGATCAGGGTGGGGTCTGATGGGCTGACTAGGGGACTGATCAGGGTGGGGTCTGATGGGCTGACCTAGGGGACTGGCCACAGTGGGACTGGAAGTGCCTGAGGAACACATGCTTCATCTATATCCAGAATGGAGTACGCAGCTCCCCAGACAGACCATGGTGACACATGCTTCATCTCTATCCAGAATGGAGCACGCAGCTCCCCAGACAGACCAGGGTGGGATGCCTCCTCATGTGGGTACCACCAAGACAGTCTGGGAGAGATGGGCAGCCATTCGGCTGTGGAGACAGGGGAGTTGGGAGGTCCACTTAGTGGAGATTGAACTGGCCTGAAGTTGAGACTGCTGCCCACAGTGAGCTTGGAAAGATCGGTGCCCAGCTCAGTGGCCTCAATCTGCCCCAGTGTCATTGCTCCTGCTCACCAGTCCCCGTCAGTCCTGCTGACAGTCTGACTACAACCTTGCTAACTAGTGCTCCAGGGCTGGAGCTCACAGAGGCAGGGTCTGTGTGCAGGTGTCACCGCAAGTGTGTGTCTGGCCCTGGATGGCGTGCTGGTCCAGACAGACCACCATCAAGTGGGGTTGGCTAGAAAGCACATCAGACAGCCCCAGAAGAGCTCCCAGCTTGGGCGAAGAGGGAACCATGGATCTCAGCCTCTTTATAGGAGCAGGCTCCATATCAGGACCAGGATGGTGCCCATGGACCCAGTGTCTTGGCCCCATGGTGCTCACTGGCGTTGAAACCGCAGCAGTGTAGCACCTTTGGTCAGGCATTGGCTAAGCACATGTCTGAGGACGGTCCGGTCACAAAGCAATGGCTTAGAGATGAAGTGGCCCAGATCACCACCTGGGGGATTACAGAGCCAGACTGTACCAGGAGCTTGGCACCCTAGTTTCATTTATGCTGCTGTGATAAAATGCTTTAATTGAAAAGCCACTTAGGGGAGAAAAGGGTTTGTTTAAAGTTCAAGGTTACGATCCAGCACAGCAATGGAGGTAACAGTCGGAGCACGAACCAGCTTGTTGTATTCACAGTCAAGAGCAGAAATATACAAACGCAGGCATGCTTGCTGGCTGGCTTTCTTGCACTCAGCCCTTGCACTCACGTGGTTCAGGAGCCCCTGCCTAGGGAGTGATGAGTCCCCAATGTGCTGGGTCTTTATACATCAATTAACTTAAGACACCCCCCCAACACACACACAGACATGCCCACATGCCAATCCAATCTAAACGATCTCTCACTGAAACCCTCATCCGATGTGGCTCCAGGCTATGTCATGTTGACAACTAAAGCCATCACACCAGGCAGCAGGGCCAGAACCTGGCTTCATGACCCTTACAGAAAGATGACACGTTAAAACTGGATATGCCGAGCCGGGCGGTGGTGGCGCACGCCTTTAATCCCAGCACTCGGGAGGCAGAGGCAGACGGATCTCTGTGAGTTCGAGGCCAGGCTGGACCGACAGCCTCCAAAACAATACAGAGAAACCCTGTCTCCTAAAACCAAAAAAAAAAATTGGATATGCCCAGATGGGTGCATGGCCCTCCCCAATACTGGGTTTCCTAGGCTGAGATGGCACCCAGGGGCACTGCATGACTCTCCTAGCTGCCAAGGGGTGCTCCTCAGCATAACAGGGAAACGGGAAGTCCTTGCCTATCATCACTGACCCTCTCTGGGCCCTTGAGTGTGTGCGCTTCTGGGCTGGGAGGGGTCAGTGCTCAGAGACAAGACAGTATACACTGACTTTGCACCTAGACTCATGCTCTTGTCAGCTGGTCAGTGTGTATGCCGTATCCTGCCTAGTCTGGCACGTTCCACCCTTTTGGAAAGTTAGTCAGCAAGGGCTTCAATCTACCATCCCATGGCAGGCCTGTCCCTGTGATCGAGTCTACCATCCATGGCAGGCCTGTCCCCTGTGATCGGGTCTTCTGTGCCTCCACTACCTTCCCATCTCACTGGGCTTCACAGCGTGGGTGAGGGTGACCCATGGAGAGCAGGAGAGAGATCCTAATCCATGGGGACAGCTGAAGGTCCCCAGGCTGGACTGAGGATGTACTGCAGAGTAGAGGACCCACACCCACCCTCCTGAAGCATCCCCACCTCTCCCAGCCCAGTCCATCCACAGACAGTCACTGGAGTCTTTCCCACCAACTTCAAGTGAAGAGGCGGGCTCCATGGTGACAGCAGGACCCAGGGTGCCAGATGCATGGGCTGCAACATATGGTGGAGCAGGGGCAGGCCTTTGATGTGAGCTCTGCAGCGCCCGCCTCACTACGCCATCCTCTGTGGCCCTGCATCCTGCACAGCAGGGCTGGGAGTTGCCCAGCAGGAGGATCTGAGCACTGGCAGCTGACCTATACCCACACCAGAGCCTCCCCACTGCTAGACCAGCTCGGGTGAGGCACCACCTGCTGTTCCTCACTCTACCCACACCCTGCAGACCAGAGACCACAACGGTGAGAAGGGCTGATATTTCCAGCTCCCTGGTGGAAAGGCACAGACCATGTTCCTGATCTCGGCACAGCAGAAGGAAGCTTGCTTCAGGAGGTGAGACCCGAGGCCCTCTGAAATCCCACCATGTCTAGCAGCACCCAGGGAGACAGTGCAAGGGACTGAAGAACAGGTGTGGCTTTCATGGACTTAAGCCTCTCGGGGGATGGGAGAAGCCCTAGAGCCAGGCAGATGAGGTGCCAGGGAGGCGCTTACCACTCAGAGAGCCAAGGAAGCCCACAGCATGAGACCCCCTTGCTGGAGAAGTTGTCTTGTCCATGTCACTTCCTACAGACTGCCTGGTGGTCGCACTGATACCCGCCCAGCACAAGTCCCCAGAGACGACACACAGGGTCCGTTCAGACACAAAGCCCACAGCTTCAGCCACACTGTGTTGGGAGTCACGGTGTGAGGTTGCCCTCAGCTGCCCACCCTCTTCACGACAAGCGCCACATCATGCCCACCCCTGAGCATGCCTCACAGTGGCATCAGGTGACCCGGCACACTGAGAACCGCTCACTGGCCAGCAGGGCAGCGAAGAGTCAGCGCTAGGAAGGGACAAGGCGGAAGGCAAGCTGAGAGAGGAGTCACCGCTGGCCACGCACAGGTGTGGGGAAAGGATTTTCACTGTGTCCCAAACTGAGCCAGATGCTAGCCATGTTTCGAGTGAGGCAACCCTTGAAAGTATCTAGGAAGGAGCATCTAGGGTCCTTAGGGACGCAGAAGTAGGCAGAGTTTAGCAGAGGGCGTCAGGAACTCCCTTCAGCCATCACCACCCCTGGAAGGCGCTCCTAGCCCCCCAAGTGTCCGATCTCTCTAGCCATGCATCCTTAGAGCCAGGTTAATTACTCCTAGATGACAGCCTGTGGGAGGGGCTGGAGGATGCTGGGAGAAGGGATCCAATTAGCCTCAATTATTCTCTTGATTGGGGACAATTAGTGTCCACTGCAGGGTCAGGGGTCATGATGCAGTCACTATTTAGTTAATTCCCTGGCTGAATAGAGCCCCCAAGACCATCCTAAAGACTCAGGATTGCTTCTGATCCCTTCCAAGAAGAGGGGTCCCTATCCCTAGGAGCTCCTCAATTCCTGTCAGAACTGGGGTGATGGCCAGGACATTTGGGGAGCATGGTCAAGGCCTTGGAGGGGACATGATCAGTGCCTTGGGGACATGGTCAAGAGCCTCCAGGGACATGGTCGGGACATCGGGGGCGCATAGTGCCTTGCAGGGCACAGTTGGGGTTCTGGAGAACATGACCAGAATCTTACAGGGCATAGTCAGGGCTTTGCGGGGAGACTGTTAGGGCCAGCTCCCGCCTCCTCATGCCTTGCTTCTTACTGGAATGTTCCTGCTCAGTCTCCAAAGGCCTGCCTCCCTCCAGCTCTGTTCCGGGTAGTGGAGCCATCGGAGCCCCAGCTGGGATGTCTCCTGAACAGGTTTCTGCTGCTCCTTTGCAGCTCCTACCTCCTTGAGACTAGGGAGCTCTTGCGGAGTGAATGAGCTGAGTCTCAGGTCCTTGGTTGGGAGGGACTCCATGCCTGTCATTGCCCCTCACCCAGAGATTGGTCCAGCCCTGCCTATTGTTGAGACAGGCCTCCAGGCCTCCACATAGTCCTGTCAGCTGAGGAAGGACAGATGCAAGGCTGTGGTATCAAGGATCGCTTCCTTAGTCCCTGGCCAGCAACGCATAGGTCTGGGGCACACAGGAAACAGCCAAGGCTTGCAAGAGCCAGCAGGTGGCCAGACCGCAAAGGCAGTTAGCTCCCACAAGCGGAGTCCCTCTCTGTGATCACCTCCAACCTGCCCAGTGCTTGCTCTAACACACACCAGGCAACTGAGCCCTGGGCAGACAAAGAACAGCCACAACAGGAGACAGAAAAGAGCCGAGAAGAAACTCAAGAGGCAGAGGACTTAAGGACGCAGGAACGCAGGGATGGAGGAAGGTTACAACCGCACAGACAGTAAGCATTTTGAGGATGAGCCTGAAGCAAGTGTTGAGTGAAACCAAGGTCTCCCACCTGTAGGGACACCTGACACCGGCTCAACCCAAAGTTTCAGCAGCTGGCCTCCACAGTCCAGGATGGGCCACACCCCAAAGAAGAGTAATGACTCTCCAAAGCATTCCTAAGCCATGGCCAGGTTTGGGTGCTGGACTCTGGATGCTGGCCCAGTGTCCTCTTGAGAGCCAAGTGGCCTCTTTGTCCACTGTCCCCACCCAGCTCCCCATACCCTGTACCCCACCCCAGAAGCTGTTTCCCCTTGCAAATGTATTCAGATCACATGACATGCAAATGCATTTGGATCACATGACACTTCAGGAACATCTATTTATATAAATCTAGACTCCATTTCAAAAGAATTATTCAAAATCGGAGCCATTTGGATGAATGGGTGTGGGACGAATTGTTTCTTAAGTATTCACATCAAAAAATGCCCAAAATGCCCCATTTCTAAGTGGATTCCCAACACTGTAATTACCGAGATAGGCGAGTCTTGCAGGAACATTGTAGAATGGGAACACGGGCCTTGGAAACAGTATCCCAATGAACAGAGCTCAGCATCACTGAGGACAGGTTAGGTGGCTGGTTTTGGGGGAGCTGAGGGGTTCAAGTGCTGGGGACAGGGACAGTGGAGGTGAGAGCAGAATGACTGGACTTGACAGCCACGAGGTGACAGAGGTGATCTGCGACAAGGAAGTCTATCTACTCTGAACTTCAGAAAACAACTCAGATCCTCAGAGTCAGGCTGGGTGACTCCTGATTCTCAGCCTATTGCAAACTTCAAAGTCCACTCTGGCACCCACCTTTGCAGCCAGACTGTCTGCTTCCCCCATATGTGCCTCCAGCCCTGTCCCAGGGCCTTTGCATGTGCTGTGTAATGTATCCCAACCCCATTCTCCACCCTGTGGAAGCCCTTGGGGTCCCCAGACGGAGTGATGCATGCCCTGCACAGAACTTTCCACCACTCCCTGAGGGTCCATGCCCTCCAGACTCACAACCACCTGGCCCGCTTTGATCTGAGCCAATGAGCTTGTTTATGTCCCTTCTCTCCAAGACCACGACTTCCAGGAGGCAGAGTCGAGCACCCAGGACATAGTCCACACAGTGTGGAACTGGCCATAGCTTGGGACAGGGTAAGTTAGTTACGGCAGGCCTGCACAAACAAGCCTGGAAAAAGAGGCGTGGCCAAGTGTGGCGCTGCCCAGGCAGAGTCAGGTAAGAGCCGGGGAAAACGGAACAGCCCTGGGAATAAGCCCCCGGACAGTGGGCAAGAGAAGGGTTCGCTGGCAACGCGGCACAGCAGCGCTCTCTGCAGAGGTGAGGGAGAAACAATGGAACCTCCCTCCCACCTGGTCTCTAGTTTGCGTAATAAGCTCTATAGTGAAGACAGAACTCAAAGAGGAGCCTTCTAGAGGGCTCGTCCCATGCACCACAGACGAGAGGTGGCTCAGGGCCCAGCCCCAGGGCAAGCTCAGAGAGGAAACTGAGAGCAAAGGTTGGTGGGGCAAAAGGCCTGTCTGGACATGGCAGGAACAGGCAGGGGCTGGGTAAACTTGTCCAGGATGGGTCCCCACCCGAGGGTACCTTCCATACTGCCACGGACACCCAACATCCCTGTGCTGTCTTTCCTGGGTTTCCCTCTACATCCTGAACCATTAGGACACGAGAAAGCAGCCTTTCTTGTGCCCATAACTAATGTCCTGAGCTGCTGAGGGTGTCTCCAAAAGCCCTCATGCTGGAGGTTCAAGGACAGTTCCATGAATGAGTGAATGAATGAATGAATGAATGAGGTCTCCTTGAGATACCAATCTTCTCTGACACACAGCCCCCACACATGGGACCTTGGTCCTAACTCCCCATACTGCCACCTCCTTCTCATATCCCACAAAGCTGTCCCTTTCTGCATGTCTGCGACTGGTCGGTATCACGGCCCCAGCCAGAA